GAAACCCTCCACATCAAACAGCACTCTCCAACTCTGAACAACATGCAGTCTTCATTTAAATTATACATTTTTTAATATGTTCGTATTACTGACCTTTCGTTTTTTTTTGTTGTAGTTTCTCCCCATGATTACTGTTTAATGTTTTATTTGTTTAATTATCGTTATATTTAGCAATTGTACTTTGACAATATTCTTTACATTATTAAATACCTTTTGTATCCATCCTGGTGATTTCTAGGTGGAGCCAACGTCTGGAAATGCTTTAACCACGAGCTTTACGCTTGATGCTACAGAAGGCTGGCGAGATTCTCCACAAGATTATTCACTGACATATACATTTTATTATCTACTCACTAGCAGTGACATCAACACTCGTATCATTAGTGTTAGAGGAGCGCCACCTGTTGTAAGAAATGTTGTTCTTCCAGGAGGTAGATACTTCTTTAAATATTTTATATACCTTAGGTGTTCAAGTAAAGTTTAGAGAAACGTTAATGCCAATGAGTATTCTCATATGAAGATATTCTTTATTGTATATAAATCTGTTTAGGAAGATATATACAAATCGTTGATAATCACTTACATAAGAAGTTGATATTAAAAGTGCATGTTTCAATAACAGATATCAAACATCACTAATGAAAAATTATAACTTTAGTACATAAACTTTGGTGTTAGGTCTATAAATAAGCTTTGGTTTTAGTTCTATACATAAGGTTTGGTCTTAGGCCTACTTATGTATCAGAACAGTGACATTCCTCTTATAAAGACTAATAAAGAATACAAGGTACTTGTATCATGTAATATTTCTTGTTTAACGGATCTTATAGGGTGCTTATATGATGTTAGGTGTATAACTTACTTTTATAACGAAGCGCATAGGTTACTTATACGATGTTAGGCTACAGACCATTAACAAAGTCGAGAGTGATAAAGCCTTTGTCCTTCAACTTAAGTAGCAACTCAAAACAGTACTTTAGCTGAGTAATTAAAAAGCGTTTAAACATAGATCAATGAAAAAGTGAATCACATCTTTAATCTCTGTATTACTAAAGCTGCTTCTACTACGTTCTTTCTTTAAACAAAATACAAAAAATCGTCACACTAAACACACAACACTGCAGATGCCACAAAACACACAGAACAGAACTACCACACTAAAGATACATTACTGTAGAAAACCACACTAAACATACAACAGTGTAGATGCCACAAAAACATACAATACTGTAGATACCACATTAACACACAACACTGTAGATACCACACTAAACATACAACACTGTAGATACCACACTAAACACACAACACTGTAGATACCGCACTAAACACACAGCACCGCAGTTATCACATTAAACATACAACACTATAAATATCACACTTAACGTACAAAACTGTAGATGCCACAAAAACGCACAACACTGTAAATACCACACTAAAAATACAACAGTGTAGGTACCACACAAAACATACAACAGTGTAGATATCATACTAAACATACAACAGTGAAGGTACCACACAAAACATACAACAGTGTAGATGTCATACTAAACATACAACAGTGTAGATGTCACACTAAACATCCAACAGTGTAGATGCCACACTAAACATACAACAGTGTAGATGTCACACTAAACATACAACAGTGTAGATGCCACACTAAATATACATCACTATAGGTGCCACACTAAATATACAACACTGTAGGTACCACACCAAACATACAACACTGTAGGTATCACATTAAATATACAGCACTGTAGGTACCACACCAAACATTCAACACTGTAGGTACCACACCAAACATACAACACTGTAGGTACAACACCAAAAATACAACATTGTAGATAAGTACTTTTTCTCGTACTTGTCTTAGATTATTAAGTACTTTCTCTCGTGCTTGACTTAGATTATTAAGTATTTTCTCACTTGCTTGCCTTAGATTATTAAGTAGTTTCTTTCTTGCTTGTCTTAGATTATTAAGTACTTTCTCTTATGCTTGTCTTAGATTATTAAGTATTTCTTTCTTGCTTGTCTTAGATTATTAAGTACTTTCTCTTATGCTTGTCTTAGATTATTAAGTACTTTCTCTCTTGCTTGTCTTAGATTATTAAGTATTTTCTCTCGTGCATGTCTTAGATTATTAAGTTGCTTCTCTCGTGCTTGTCTTAGATTATTAAGTACTTTCTCTCGTGCTTATATTAGATTATTAAGTACTTTCTCTCGTGCTTGTATTAGATTATTAAGTACTTTCTCTTGTGCTTGTCTTAGATTATTAAGTAGTTTCTCTCGTGCTTGTCTTAGATTATTAAGTACTTTCTCTCGTGCTTGCCTTAGATTATTAAGTACTTTCTCTCTTGCTTGTCTTAGATTATTAAATACTTTCTCTCGTGCTTGTCTTAGATTATTAAGTACTTTCTCTCTTGGCCCGGCATGGCCAGGTGGTTACGGCACTCGACTCGCAATCTGAGGGTCGCGGGTTTGAATGCCCGTCACACCAAACATGCTCGCCCTTTCAGCCGTGAGGGCGTTATAATGTGCCGGTCAATCCCACTATTCGTTGGTAAAAGAGTAGCCCAAGAGTTGGCGGTGGGTGGTGATGACTAGTTGCCTTCCCTCTAGTCTTACACTGCTAAATTAGAGACGGCTAGCGCAGATAGCCCTCGTGTAGCTTTGCGCGAAATTCAAAAACAAACAAACAAAACTTTCTCTCTTGCTTGTATTAGATTATTAAGTAGTTTCTCTCATGCTTGTCTTAGATTATCATGTATTTTGTGATTTTGTTTCTCTTCAGAGCTTGCTCAATCTACTGAATTTAACAGTTTTTCATTGTTTGTAATTTATTTTCATAACTTGTTAACGTCATTAAGCGAAACTTTTCACTAAAAACAATTTAACCCACTTTAATACGTTTTCTCAATGTCTCCACAGTTCCAGGCCAGACAACCAATGTTATAGTTAAAGTTAAAGTATGTGACACTCTAAACTCCTGTACCACGACCGAGAGGACCGTTTCCACTGCGTCATCGCCATCTTTCTCGTTAGTTGACTTCGAAAGTTTGAATAAAACAGTCCATCAATATTTGAATCGAGGTAACAGAATTTTTCAAAAACTGGAACTAAATGTTACAGAGAGTAAAACACGTTGTTTTTAATAATTTTAACGAACTAAATCTTCAACTAATTTTAAAAACTGGAACTAAATGTTACAGAGAGTTAAACACGTTGTTTTTAATAAAATTAACGAACTAAATCTTCAACTAATTTTAAAAACTGGAACTAAATATTACAGAGAGTTAAACACGTTGTTTTTAATAATATTAACGAACTAAATCTTCAACTAATTTTATAAACTGGAACTAAATGTTACAGATAGTTAAACACGTTGTTTTTAATAATATTAACGAACTAAATCTTCAACTAATTTCAAAAACTGGAACTAAATATTACAGAGAGTTAAACACGTTGTTTTTAATAATATTAACGAACTAAATATTCAACTAATTTTATAAACTGGAACTAAATGTTACAGATAGTTAAACACGTTGTTTTTAATAATATTAACGAACTAAATCTTCAACTAATTTTAAAAACTGGAACTAAATGTTACAGAGAGTTAAACACGTTGTTTTTAATAATATTAACGAACTAAATATTCAACTAATTTTATAAACTGGAACTAAATGTTACAGAGAGTTAAACACATTGTTTATAATAAAATTAACGAACTAAATATTCAACTAATTTTATAAACTGGAACTAAATGTTACAGAGAGTTAAACACGTTGTTTTTAATAATATTAACGAACTAAATATTCAACTAATTTTATAAACTGGAACTAAATGTTACAGAGAGTTAAACACGTTGTTTTTAATAATATTAACGAACTAAATATTCAACTAATTTTATAAA